CATTCCTGCAATGTATTCCTTAACTCTGTGCACTCATACTTGCCTACTGGATAGGAAGTGGTGGCCCAGCTCCTTTTTGCTCCAGGGAGCTGTACTGGGGAACAAACTATGGGACTGGCATACTTTGTTGGCAATAATGTGGCTTCCTTCTCCTGTATAAGTAGCTCTCAAAATTCAGGTGTTCTAGAAAATGACTTCTGGGACCTAAAGATCCTGAGGGAAAAGAGGGTGAGGGGTAGAGGCAGATGAAAAGGTGGAGAGAGGTGAATTCATGTGGGTGCCTGGGAAAGGAAGGAGCCTCCAGTGGGTTCAGTGGAGACAGAGCTTGACGACCCAGAAGAGATGGTGGCCTTCAGAAGCACTCAGTGCATTGATAGCCGCCAGTTCAACCAGTACCTGTTGTGATCAGCTGACTGTTCAGGGAAGCGTTAAAGAAGACCTTGTCCCTGCCCCTTCTCTCGGCACCTGTAGGAGACACTCTGAGGCTCCGCACAATCCTGGAAGCAATACAGAAGCACATCCATTCTTCCTCCCTCATCTTCAAACTGGCCCAAGATGCATTCAAGATTGCTACACCCACGGACAGTAGTACAGACAGCACCCTGCTCAACGTGGCCCTGGAGCTGGGGTTACAGGTATGGAGGACAAGCGGGCCATCCCCACTTTAGACTTCTGGCCTAGTGACAACTGGTAGAAGATAAGATCCCACGGGGACTGGAGTGGGCATGGGCCAGGACTGGTTCTTTCTCTGTCCCCAGGACACAGCTTCTAGGCTAGACACAAGGTAAGGACTCAACATTGGCCTCTGTTTTGAAGTTACGGCCAGTTAAGCAGTGTAGCCTTAGGCTCCACAGGGTCCCCGTCTTCTCCCTACCCCACCCCCATTCTTCCAAGTCAAACAAGGTGTGGTAATAAGGGCTTTATTCATTACAGGTCATCAGAGGAGTGTTCTATCTGATTGGTAGCAGGGGTGGGGCAGAAATTAAACAAACCCATCTGTAGTTATCGGGGAGAGATGGCTGTTTAAGGCACCAATAAATACTTGTTGCATAAATGAATGGCAAGGGGGAGTGGGGAGGGGGAGGTTATAGCAATTATGCTTAGCCAACTGGGAAGGCTGCTTTTTTGCCCAGGTGATGAGGATGACCTTATCAACCCTTAACTGGAGGCGCCGGGAGATGGTGCGGTGGTTGGTGACATGTGCTACAGAAGTGGGTGAGTCTCCCAGCTCCCTGTACCCCCAGGGGAAAGGATTCCTAGGCCCTACACTTGGGACAGGATGACGAATTTAGAGCTGTCATATTCCTATTACTGATGGCTAGGAAAGGATGAGGCTGCTGGTAGGAGAAGATGGCCTCTGTTCAGCCTGACCAAACTCTGCCCTCACTGCTTGGACCATACCCTGATGTCAGCAGCACTTTGACCCTCTGATCAGAGACATTCTGAGAGAGTGAATTTTCAGCCACAAGTACTCAAGTGTAGCCTTGGGAGGTAGTTGGCCCAATGGTTTGGTCCCAGTCCCTGTCCATGATTCTGAGAAACCCCAGACAACTTGGAGGCTCGGGACCCCATCTAGAGCCCAAAGCCCCAGGACAAGACTCTACCCTGAGAGGCCCCACTTCAGCTAGAACCCCCAGTCAGATCTGCGACTACTGCCTTGGGGCAGGCAAACCACAGGCTGTGTTGCTTCATCCTTGTGAGGGGCTTAGAGCACCTGCAGAAACCTTCAACACTCTCACCTGGGGAAGGAAGGGATGGGAAGAGACCCCAAACAGGGTCTGGGTGTCTGGGTTGTTCCCCTTGCCCTGGTTGCCTCAGATCATCTCAAGGATGCTGAGAAGGAGGGAGAACTCGTCTCTGCAGGCCAAGTTCTGACCCCAAACGGTAGTCTGGGCAGACCTGGATCAGGACCCGGATGGCCACTGCTGAGCTCAGGCTCTCCCTGACAGGTGTGCAGGCCCTGGTGAGCATCCTGCAGAGCTGGTACACACTCTTCACCCCCACCGAGGCTACCAGCATTGTGGCTGCCACAGCCGTATCCCACACCACTATCCTGCGCCTCAGTCTTGACTATCCACAGCGGGAGGAGCTGGCTAGCTGTGCTCGCACGCTGGCCCTGCAGTGTGCTATGAAGGATCCACAGAGCTGCGCCCTATCGGCCCTTACACTCTGTGAGAAGGACCACATCGCCTTTGAAGCAGCCTACCAGATTGCCATTGATGCTGCTGCTGGCGGCATGACTCACTCACAGCTGTTCACCATCGCCCGCTACATGGAGCTCCGTGGCTACCCGCTACGTGCCTTCAAGCTGGCCTCACTGGCCATGAGCCATCTCAACCTGGCCTACAACCAGGACACCCACCCGGCCATCAACGATGTGCTCTGGGCGTGTGCCCTCAGCCACTCCCTGGGCAAGAATGAGCTGGCGGCCCTGATTCCCCTGGTGGTGAAGAGTGTGCACTGTGCCACAGTGCTTTCAGACATCCTACGGCGCTGCACGGTCACTGCACCTGGCCTGGCCGGCATCCCAGGCCGCCGCAGCTCGGGAAAGCTTATGTCCACCGACAAAGCTCCCCTGCGCCAGCTGCTGGACGCCACCATCAATGCCTATATCAACACCACACACTCGCGCCTGACACACATCAGCCCTCGCCACTACGGAGAGTTCATTGAGTTTCTGAGCAAGGCCCGGGAGACCTTCCTGCTGCCGCAGGATGGCCACCTGCAGTTTGCCCAGTTCATCGACAACCTGAAACAAATCTACAAAGGCAAGAAGAAGCTGATGCTGCTGGTGCGAGAGCGCTTTGGCTGAGAGAGCAGATAGCTCACTGCTGGGGCATCCTGCACTCCCAGGTATCATCCGGTCAGGCCAAGGACACAAACATTTGTCCACCCTGAGAGGACTCTGAGCACCTGTGGCTGAAGCCAGAGGACCACAGGGCTAAGCATGGGGAGAGTCCAACTCTAGCCAACATGCCTTGTCAAGGTTCTCACGACAGCCCACTCTTCCTGGAGGAGCTGGGCCCTGCAGACCGATCAGAAACCCCACACATGACACCTCACGCCCCACTATCCTGCGTGTCCTGGGCATTGGCCCTCTCTCCTTGGCAAACACAGAACACTGTTCCGTCTCAGGGATTGCTTAACCAGAGAAACAGAAGCATTTATGGTACTGTAAATACTATAGTATATGTGTTGCCAATTACATTGTAAAATTGTAACTATTTATAATTCTGGTTCTAATCTGATGGGTAGCTGTGGGTGGGAAGATAGGCTTGTTTTCTGAGGAGATTCACAACCGTTTCTCAGGTTTCCCTTGCAGAGGATATGCTATTGGCAGTGGAAGAGTGGGGGTGGCAGAGAGAAAAATGGCCATTAGAGTAAACCCCAAGTCTAGTCTATGCAGAAACCCCGGCCTGCAGATGGGCATTGACAGCCCGGTGATGGGTGAGGAGCAGGGCCCGGTCTTGACTTAGACTTTCACCTCACGAAGCCATGAGGACACAGGAGCTCTTGCTCCTGCTTCACACAGCCTCTCTCTCTGGGAGCCTGCCAAGCTCCTGAGAAACAAGGGCAGGGAGAAGGTGAAGGTCTGGGAGGCCACTGGGCTTATAATGTTCATCTTCTCTGGTCACCTTTGTGTTAGACAGCATCTGGTTTCATCTCTAATTACACTTGTGTGTGTGTGGATCTGGATGGCTATGTACGTGCATCTGTGCGCATAAATATATCTGTGCATGCCTGCATGTGCACATGTATATTTATGTGTATCTGTGTCAGGTCTGTGTCTGTGTAAAGACATGTCTCTGTACTGGATGGTGGGTTTGTGTGTGAGGGTATACACATTTGTGAACATATAAAAATACATATCTGTGTGTGTGTGTGTGTGTGTGTGTTGATGTTTGTCAATGCATGTGTAGTGTTTGTGTATCTGGGCACACGTAAGTGCATGTGTATAAACATGTCCGTGTCTGTGTGTAACTGTGTATATTTCCACATGTAGATTTGTCTGTGAATTCATGTTTGAGGATCTGCCTGAATGTGTCCCTTCTCTTTTTGCCAGATCTCTCATCCCCATTTCTCTTATTCTCTCACCAGCTAAACATGTTCCTCATCTCTGTGCCTCCTTTATTCACCATTGTCTCACCAAACAGGCTTCTAAGCACTAGTCTCCCTCTGCCCTGAGTGGCTCCTTCAGTGCCACATTTCTCTTCTTACCCTGTACTTGCTTTCTTCCCCTGCCTTTCTACCTCAAGCTTCCTCTGCCTGCTTCTGTCACAGTCCCATTGGTCATTGGTTTGGAGGCTGTGGCTGGAATGCATTTGGCCTTTTCCTTTCTGACTAGTTTCTAGCTCTAGTGGGCAACCCCTGTCTTAGCCCTGGCTGACCTCCACAGTGTATCATGTTCCTGCTACCTTCCTGACCCCTCTGCTCAGCCTGGAATTGTAATAGGAGGTAGCACAGGCATTCGGAAGACTCATTTAGATGCCAGTGTCTTGGTGGTTACTGTTTCATGTTTTAGTTCCCCAGTAGAGGGTGGGGTGTGACAGGGAAGGGGTGGTATAGTTAGAGTGTGAACCAAGGACCTCTTTGTCTGCTTTACTTTCCTGTCTTTGACAAACTGTTTGTGTCACTTTTTCTTTCTCCACACTAACCAGTAAGTTGCATTTGCCGTTTGTGGCTACCAAAGTCTCACCGTCCAGCTACGGGCCCAACAACCTCTCAGCCCAATAGGTTGGTTTAAAAAAAAAAAAAAAAAAAAAAAGACAATGCCACTCCCATTTCTGTATCACAATTGCCGTTTTTTAGCAAGTGTGTGAACTCACAGTGCTTTTCTATGAATAAATCCTGGATCACAGAAAAGATCATTTTTCTAAAATCAGAAATTGTGTTCTTTCAATAAATGGGGCCCTTCTCTCTTCTCCATCACCTGGCTGGGACAGGGAGCTGGTTAGGCTATATAGCACAGTGGGTTCCTAATGGTCTAAGATGTGGAATGACAAATGAAGAATTTCCTACTGCACCACACCCCTCTCCAGAGCTCACAGGCCTGTCAGAGCCTGATCCCAGGAAGTAGGTACCACCATGAAAAGCAGAAACAGCAAGATACTGAGAAAATTAGAGGGTATGCGCAGAAAAGAATGCAGGGCAACTGGCCCTGTGTCCCACTCTGATCTATACACCCTTCCCTCCCCAGATGCAAAGCCCTGTCAATTTGGCCTCATATGCTATAGGCACCCCATTTCCCTGCAAATGTCACAGCTCTAGCTCCTAGGAAGATCTGCACAGCCCCATGTAGCTCTGGGGCTTGGAGATCTGAGAGCAAAATGGTGGTAAAGGTCCTGACATTAAGTCCTACATACATATTCACTGATACCCGAGGTCCCATGACTTGTGGGAGAGGATGCAGAAAGAGGCCCAGGGAAGGAAGAGGCTAAGAAGGAACTGAGGATAAGGGCACAGATCTTTCACAAACAAAACCACACGCAAGACTCCAACTCTGGAACTTTTATTCTCCTGGAAACAATCATCTGTGTTAGTGGTACTTCAGATAAAAGGATTATGCTCAATTCTGTCGAAGCAGACGTGAGTGTTTGTGCACGGCATCCACAAAGGCTCCCACATGTTCTGGGTCCATGTCAGGGTAAAGTCCGTGGCCCAGGTTGGCAATGTAGCGCCGCGGCCCAAAGTCATTCAGCATCTGCTGCACCAACTGCCCAATCTCCTCCTGGGGGGACCAACAGGGCACTGGCTACAGGGGGGGCCAGCACACCTCTGTCCTCCCTATACATAATAGTGACACACATACATGTAGGCATGCTTCTACTCAGTGTTACTCATACAGTCATTCAAAAAACTTTATCGGGTGCCTAGTATGGTCCAGGCGCTAAGAAAACACAAATGAACAAAATCATTGAGAAGAAACTCCTGCCTTCCTAGAGTTCACATGGTATGAGTGGAGTAGAGGGGAGGGATAAACAGATAATAGAAGCACACACATAGTAATAAACACAACCATATCCAGAACCATGCGAGTGCACAGAAACAAACACAGACACACACAGGGACCTGGTTGTTACCTCAGATGCATATAAGGCACAGGGGTCCAGGTTGCCCTGCAGGGTCACCGTCTTTCCCACGCAGTCCCTGGAAGTAGAGTCAGTGCCCTGTTCTGGTGACTGCACATATGGCAGTTGCATCCCCTCCACAGCACCTTCCATCACTCACCGGGCTTTCTCTGGGGCCACTGTCCAGTCAAGCCCAACTACCTCGTAGCCAGCCTGGGCCAGCTCCTCCAGGGCAAAATGTCCGTCCTTAGCAAAGATGATCTGGGGGAAAGGGCAAATCTCAGGCTGCCGAGGGCTTTGCTATACCTCCTAATATAGCTCAGTTGTGCTTCTGCCCTCCAGTGGTCACTTAGGTCCATGCAGGACTTAACCTGCTAGTTCCACAGGCCCACCTTCACTCATCTGAACCCCATCCTTACCATGGGCACTGGTGCCAGGCCTGCCTCCTGCAGCCCGGCTTTCACTCGCTTGGCCACATCACGGATGTAGGGCAGTGCAAACTTACTGAAGAGTTGTGGGCCAAGATGCCCTGCATGGGACTCAAAGAGCTGCAACGCCTACAGTTAGAAAAGAAATGCATAACACACAAAGAGGAAGTATCTCGGGCCCCACATACAGAATGTGCCTCAGTTTTCCTTCAGTTTTCCCCAAGTGACTTCAACCCCTGAGACTACCTAAGCCTATAAGCCCAGTTCCAGTCAAAAAGTTTTGCCTTCTCCAGATCCCAGTGCTAGGTTTGGTCTTTGAATACACAGAGCATTAAGCCCTCCTGCCAGTGTCTGGGCTTAGCTGCTCCAGCCAGATCATTTCATGCCAAGCTTCTTTTGTGCCTGGTATTGAGACACCTACCCTCACAGGTATAAGGAACTGTATTGTTTCTGGTCCTTAAAGACTAAACTCCAGGGCTTCCCTGGTGGTGCAGTGGTTAAGAATCCGCCTGCCAATACAGGAGACACGGGTTCAAGCCCTGGTCCGGGAATATCCCACATGCCGTGGAGCAACTAAGCCCGTGCGCCACAACTACTAAGCCTGTGCTCTAGAGCCCGCGAGCCGCAACTACTGAGGCTGCGTGCCACAACTACTGAAGCCTGCGCGCCTAGAGCCCATGCTCTGCAACAAAAGGAGCCACCACAATGAGAAGCCCAGGCACCGCAACAAAGAGTAGCCCCCGCTCGCCACAACTAGAGAAAGCCCGCGCGCAGCAACGAAAACCCAACGCAGCCAAAAATAAATAAAGACGAAACCCCAGCCTATTTGTCTCTCCCTCAGGACTTACCTGGGCACCAGCAGCCACTTGTCCCACCAGATATGGGACGAGAGCATCAGTGAGGATGCGAAGCAGCTGGTGACTGGCCTGAGGTCTCTGGTAAAGCCAGCGTTTGGCCTGAGCCATGGTGCTTGAGCCGCCACCCTCAACCATATATGTCATGAGAGTCCACTGCAAAAGGCAGAAGCCAGATAGACACTTCCTTCCCTTGTCTGCACCCAGACCTGCCAGAGTAATTTCTCCAAGCCCAAGTCCCTGCCCTGTTCCATATTACCGGGGCACCAGCAAAGCCAATCAGTGGCACACGCCCAGCCAGACGTTGTCGAGTGAGGGTGATGGCCTGGAACACATAGCCCAGCTCAGAGGCCACTGTTGTTGGATCCCGGAGGCGCTGTAAATCCCGCTCTTCTCTTAATGGCTCTGGGAAGCTGGGCCCTTTGCCAGGCACCATGGTCACTTCCATGCCCAGTGCCTGGTGGGGAAGAAAACGTCCAGGTTCCCAACCTGTAACTCCAGGAGGAGGAGATCTGTTCAACCCATGCCAAGAAGGAGGAAAAGGAGAATAAAACTCAGCCAAACTCCATCTCTTTCAGCCTGTTTTTCCCTCTGTCCCATAAGGATAAGTGCTTATCTTGAACCTTGACTGTCTTTTCCCTTTGTTACCCATTCAAGAATCAGATTTGAGCAGGTACCTGGGGTACAACAAGGATGTCGGAGAAGATGATGGCAGCATCCAGAGGGAAGCGACGCAGTGGCTATAAGAAACAGAAGACAGATTGCTAGGTGGCGAGCTGACAGCATAAATATCTCCCTCTTTTGTGGACCCCTCACCTGCAGAGTAAGTTCACAGCAGGTCTCTGGGGAGCGACAGGTGCTGAAAAAGTCCTGAGCAGCCCGAGTTTCCCTAAACTCTGCGGACAAAAAAGGGAAAGCAGGGCTTAGCCTTGAGGAACCTCCAGAGCCCTCCTCTGCCCCTCAAAAACTTTTCACCCTCCAGAGTTTTACCTAGACTCCGAGGCCCTGATCCTGACCTGGTAAGTAGCGGCCTGCCTGCCGCATGCACCAAACAGGAGTGTAGTCTGTTTCTTCTCCCCAGGCTGCTCGCAGGAAGGTGTCATTCTTCAGCTCCGGGAAACCCTGAGGTCTGGAGATCAGGAGTGGGTAGGGTAGGTGTCAGTAAACCAGGCTGGGGGTTGGGCAGGGCTCGGGTTCTAAAGGCGGATACAGTCCAGCACAGCTATCTGTCTTCTCCAGACTAGCTACCAAGCTGTGACTCCCCGCCGATTCCACCTCCCCTCTATCAGGTGGTGTACAGGACTAGAAGGGCCGGTGCCGGGGCCTCTACCCTACACATAGTCGCAGCTTCCCCAGGCTCAAAGCCACTGGAGGGACTGGGAGAGAGTGGGCGGGGGGAGGGGACGAAAGTCCAGTTAGGAGAGTTTGGGGGGTCTTTGGACCAAAAAAATCTCAGGAACAAGGGTACCAGTGGGCTGGTTTTGGGGCTGGAAGATCTCCAGGCTGGGGGATGGTCATGGGGGGGGATCAGAGCTGACAGTCCGAAAAAGGGATCTTAGTTGAGGATTAGGAAGTCCAGACGGCATCTCCTAAATAAAGGTCTGGGGTACGCAGTCCAGCTAGGCGGTCCCTGGGATGAACATCTCAGGAATCCATGGTTGGAGGATTTGGGATTCCAGAGACTTGGGTTCTCCGGGGCTGGGGAAGAGGGGTATAGGGACAGATTCCTGAGCTGAAAGACTCAGGTCAGAAGCCCGTATGGCCACACTGCGTGGTGGCACAGAGAACTCACCCACACTCGTTCGCCTCCATGATAAGTTGTCAGTAAACGCGAGCACAGCCCCAGCTGTAGACTAATTCTGAGCCTGCCCCCTGCCCAGGCTCCGCCCCTTCCTGGAATGAGCCAAGGCTGTCGCCATGTTGAAAGTCACATGATCAGACTCCAGAAACGGCTCCCGGGCTGCCCCGGCTGCTGCCCGTAGGACCCCCTAGGTCTCTTCACCGTAAAGTCCTCTGTAGCGACGCAACAACAAACACCTCCCTACCCCTCCCCCCACAAAAGAACTTCGCTGTAACTACACTTCACGTGGCGTGAGAAATTTGCTGTCCTCTGACGGCCTGGGAATCCCGGCAGACTCGTCCCAGGTCTCACTTTCACTCCCACTCTTCACGATTTTAACAATTTTATGCCTGGCCCAACCAGGCATATGGTGAATTATGGACCCAAGTTGTACAGGGAACTGAAATAATTAAATATTTATATTACCTAGAAAGAGGCGGGCACTACAATAGGTGCAGAGATTACAGTGGAGAACAAGACATTTCCTTCCTTTAAGGAGCTACAGACTGATGCGGAAACAGAGAAGTCAGCAATCACAATAGTAAATGTTTTTTGTTTTGTTTTTTGCGGTACGCGGGCTTCTCACTGTTGTGCCCTCTCCCGTTGCGGAGCACAGGCTCCGGACGCGCAAGCTCAGCGTCCATGGCTCACGGGCCTAGCCGCTCTGCGGCATGTGGGATCTTCCGAGACCGGGGCACGAACCCATATCCCCTGCATCGGCAGGCAACTCTCAACCACTGCGCCACCAGGGAAGCCCTCAATAGTAAATGTTTTAAAGGGAAAGAGCTAGAAGCAAGTAGCAAGGGCTCCATTTAACTGGGGAAAGCAGTGGGGTATTCCAAGCAGAGGGAACGGCATGTGTAAAGAGAAGACGAAAAAGAGCAAATGGCTTAATGGGAAACAAGATCAAGCTGGTGGAATTAAAGAGGCTAGAGCTGTCTGCAGAGTCCAGGTCATGCAGGTCTTTGTTAAGTGCATTTGTTCACTTTATCCTGTAGTAGTGTAATAGCATACAAATAGCTTGGAGAGAAGGGAAGAGAGGCACTGTGTTCCCAACTTATTAAGGAGAAAAAAATGGAAAACTGTCATAATTACATGGGATCATTTATTTCTTTCTTGATAACTTCAATTATTTGAAAACTATATCAAAACAAACTTTCCACCCGTGTCCATCAACGAACAGATAAACAAAATGTAGTGTGTGTGTGTGTGTGTGTGTATACACAATGGAATATTACTCAGCCATAAAAATAAATTATTTTGATACATGCTACAACATTGTTGTAACATGCTAAGTTAAATAAGACAGACACAAAAGGACAAATACTGTATGGTTCCACTTATATGAAATATCTATAATAGGCAAATTCAGAGGCAGAAAGTAGAATAGAGTTTACCAGGGACTGGGGAGTGGGGGCAATGAGGAGTCATTGCTTAAATGGTACAGAGTTTCCTGTTTGGGGTAATGAAAAGTATTGGAAATAGATAATTATACATTTAAAAAACGGTTAAGATTGCAAATTTTGTTATATATATTTTCCACTATTTTTTTAAATTAATGTAATATATCAAAAACCAGTGAGTAGTACACTTTAAATGGGTGAATTATATGATGTGAGTTATATCTCAGTAAACTTTTAAAAGAAATGGGGCGGGACCAAGTTGCCTTTTCCTCCATGATTATACTTCACCAGCAGCTTCTGTCCATGTTTTTTTGCCTCCTCCCTAACCACATCAGCCTTTCCTCTCGTTTGGTTCAGAATTACTGGGAGAAACTGGATAATGATCACCAGTGTCCCGGGATTAGGAGTAACTACCAGGATCAAGCCTAAATGACTCAAGACTCCTGTCAGCAGCCAAGCTGGGGAGGGGGTTATTTTCCGAAACGTTTCAGTCACACTGCCCCTAGGATGGGGAGCCTGAGAAGATATCTAACAGATTTTTAAAGATTCTTCTGGTTGTAGTGTGACTTACTGAGGGCACGGAGGCAAAACAGAAGGCTGGAGGATCTGAGAAATAGCTGTTGCAACTTTCCGGGCCAGATAGGATGGATGGTGGCTTGAATGGGGTAGTAGCAGTGGGGATTAAATGGTAGAAGTAATGGGATTTGGAGTGGATAGATTGATCATGTAGAAACTACTACTGAACTTGGGTCTGGTTGGCTGAGCGGGAGGCACAGAAACAGGTAACAGGATTAAGTATCCGAGTACACAGGACAATACGGCGGGAACGTGAGGGGCGTTTAGTCCAGAACTTACGGCGAAGGCTGGCCGAAGGCGGGGCTGAAGGTGATGGGAAGCTTAGTCAGTCTTCCCTGCAGAAGCTCCTGGGGCCGGGTCGCCCCTGGGCTTCCCTGGGCCACCACGCTATGGCGGGCCCGGGCCCGGGCGCGGCGCTAGAGTCCCCGCGGCAGCTGCTGGGCCGCGTGCGCTTCCTGGCGGAGGCAGCGAAGAGCCTCCGCGCTGGGCGGCCGTTGCCGGCGGCGCTAGCTTTCGTGCCGCGCGAGGTGCTCTACAAGCTTTACAAGGACCCGGCGGGACCGTCGCGCGTGCTGTTGCCAGTGTGGGAGGCGGAGGGCCCAGGGCTGCGTGTGGGAGCCACGGGCCCGGCCACTTGTACCGGCTCCGGGCCCCTCCGCGCCGCCCGCGACAGCATCGAGCTCCGGCGCGGCGCTTGCGTGCGCACCACGGGCGAGGAGCTGTGCAACGGCCACGGGCTCTGGGTGAAGCTGACCAAGGTGCAAAAGACCCGGGACCAGGGAAGCCCTTGGCTGTTCCCCTCCCCTCCCCCATATTGAGCTGACATTAGCGTTCTGTGCCCTTTGCCGTGGGCTGGGCAGGGCTTGCCGCCGGCAGTTCCTTGACGGCTGTCCCTGTCTGGCGCTTCCCGGCAGGAGCAGCTGGCGGAACACCTGGGCGACTGCGGGCTGGACGAAGGCTGGCTGCTGGTGTGCCGCCCGGCAGAAGGCGGGGCCCGGCTCGTACCCATCGACACTCCAGACCACCTCCAACGGCAGCAGCAGCTCTTTGGAGTGGACTACCGCCCGGTGCTCAGGTCCTGCACTGGGAGGGGCGGAGCTTGCTGTCATACTGCTGTGCCCTAGTGTGGCAAAGCCCGGGTGGTGGGATCTGGAGCGGAGGCAGGGTTTACAGCAGAAAGGGGCGGGACCTGAAGGGAGCTGGGGTGGGGCTTCTGGAGGCGCACTTTAGAGGAGCTAGAGCTCGGGAGAAGGCTCCAGGGTCTCCTGCTGCTCGCTGATGTCTCTGCATCCCGTCCCCCATTCTGTGCGCACAGATGGGAACAGGTGGTGGACCTGACATACTCGCATCGCCTGGGATCAAGGCCTCAGCCGGCCGAGGCATACACAGAAGCTGTACAAAGGCTACTGTGAGTGAGCTGGGATGGGATGGGGAGGAAGGAGCTCCAGGTCTGGGCCCGACCTAATTAGGGACTTGGGGTTGCTTAGCTATGTGCCCCCGACGTGGACCTACGAGTGCGACGAGGACCTGATCCACTTCTTGTACGACCACCTGGGCAAGGAGGATGAGAACCTGGGTAGCGTGAAGCAGTATGTGGAGAGCATAGACGTTTCCTCCTACACGGTGGGTGCTGGGACTCCTCCCGCCCCAAGCAAGATGTAGTCACATCTTGCTAGATCCAGAACTCTCACCTCTAGGCCAGGGCCAAATCTGAATCCCCACAGGCCATACTCAGTCCAACCCCCCCATCTTGGAAGTCATGTAGGAACCCCTAGACACCTCCACCCATACCAGATGTGCTTCTAACCCAGCTCCACTGTACTTTCTCTCGTGCTCCCTGGCCCAAAGCACACCCCCAGTGCAGGGAGTGGGGGTAAACACTGATTCCACCTCTCTGCCCCTCCCCAGGAGGAGTTCAATGTGTCCTGCCTGACAGACAGCAATGCGGACACCTACTGGGAGAGCGATGGGTCCCAGTGCCAGCACTGGGTACGGCTTACCATGAAAAAGGGCACCATTGTGAAGTGAGTGGGCTCTGAGTAGGACAGGGTGGGTGAGCCACATGCCTGTGAGTGTAAAAGACCCACGTGCACACTCTTAACCCTTAGGAAGCTACTACTCACGGTGGATACCACAGATGACAACTTTATGCCTAAGCGGGTGGTGATCTATGGGGGTGAAGGGGACAACCTGAAGAAGCTGAGTGACGTGAGCATTGATGAGTGAGTGAACTGGCCTGGGGTGGGAGGTGGGACATGATCCAAACAGTAGGATCTGGCCCACGTTGGAAGCAAAAGTTCGAGCGAGACCCCAACAATCCCTGAAGACAAGGGGTCTCCAAAGTGCCTCACGTTCATCCTCTCAGGACCCTGATCGGGGATGTCTGTGTCCTGGAGGACATGACCGTCCACCTCCCAGTCATCGAGATCCGCATCGTCGAGTGCCGAGGTGGGGCTTAAGGCCCTAAGAAGGGAAAGGGAGCCCAGTGTGTAGATGGGGATTAGCTGGCAGTGAGTGTGGAGAGAAGGAAATGGGCTTGGAGTTGAGGTAAAGGTGATAGCTGAACTAACTCTAGGATCTGAAGCTTTGGGCCCCAAGCCGGGTGGAAGGTGCTGGGTAAGAGGGCTGCCTTAAAGCCATAGAAGTGCTTGGGCTCACCTGGAAGAGGAATGGAGTTGGGACCCTCAGGCATCCCCAAACTATAGTGGTGGACACAGGAATTAGCAAAGAATATAATAATCAGAATCAGGTTATAGGAGGGGATTCCAAAGGTCCCAAGTTTCTAGGGGCTAGGGGTAACAAAAGGCCGAGCATTAAGGAGCCTTTCTCAGGTTTGAGGGCCAAAAAGGCAGCAGGCACAGTAAGTGATCTCACTCTAACTCCTTCCTGCAGATGATGGGATTGACGTGCGTCTTCGAGGGGTCAAGATCAAGTCATCTAGACAGCGGGAACTAGGGCTGAATGCAGACCTGTTCCAGCCCACCAGTCTGGTGCGATATCCACGCCTGGAAGGCACTGATCCGGAAGTGCTATACCGCAGAGCTGTTCTCCTGCAGAGGTGGCTGTGGCCCTGGGCCAGTCAGGCCCTTCCTTGTCCCCCATCCTGAGCCTTGTATGTCTGTGTAGAAGAGGCCCCCAAGGTCTTATACTGTAAGCTGTTCCACTTCAAGAGGCAGAGCAGTCCCTGGGCCTTGCCTTCTCCTGTCCCTGTAAGTTGGGGAGTGAAGGGCTCTTGCATCCATACCAAACTCTTTAGCTGCAGTTATCTTTACCCACCCACCCCAGATTCATAAAGATCCTAGACAGCGTCCTGCACCACCTGGTACCTGCCTGGGATCACACGCTGGGCACCTTCAGTGAGATTAAGGTGAGCCTGACACATGCAGTGCTGGTCTTGGCATTGGGCACCCCCTTTCTGCTCAGGCAGTTGTTCACTCTTCATCAGAGAGTTCTTAGACCTACTCTAGGCCTGGGCTTTTGCTGGGCCCTGGGAACATAGGAAGAAAGCCAGACACAAATAGTCAAAATTTCGTGTTTGGGGTGCTATTCCCCAGAGAGCATATGAAATATACAGAGCTCGGGGAGGAGAGGTTACAGCATGGACAGGGCAGGTTGCATAAAAGGTGGACACTGGGAGTTGCCAGCAGCTCAGAATGACATGAGAGAAGCCTGCCCATAGATGTGAGTATGACATGGGGATGAGGCTGGGAGAAGGTGGATAGGAAGCAGGCCCTGGTAGCAGACGGCCCTGGCGCCAGACTTTGTTCCTGGTCAGTGGAGCCACTGGAAGGTTTTATGTAAGGAAATGACAAAGTTGGATTTTTTGTTTTAGAAAGCTCTCCCTGGTGGCCAGACTAAGGGAGAGACTGGAGGCAAGGACCAGGGATGGACTAGGCTTGAACTGGAACCATGGGATTAGGTCCAGGAATAGAGAAAGGTTCCAGGGCCTGGACAGAGGCTGACTGCCTGCTGGTCCTGGTCTGGCCACATCTCCTCCCCAGCAAGTGAAGCAGTTCCTGCTGCTGTCACGCCAGCGGCCAGGCCTGGTGGCCCAGTGCCTGCGTGACTCAGAGAGCAGCAAGCCCAGCTTCATGCCACGCCTATACATCAACCGGCGCCTCGCCATGGAACACCGCGCCTGCCCCTTAAGGGACCCTGCCTGCAAGAACGCTGTCTTCACCCAGGTTTGGACCACCTGGGGTCAGACTGAGGGAGGGTCAGTAAGGGGCCTAGGGGGCTGGGCCAACAGGGACCTAAGCAAGGTCTTTGGGCAAGAGTGGGGCCAGGTCTTGACACAGACTGTCCCACAACTCCCTCCCCTTTCCCCTGCCCCCAGGTTTATGAAGGCCTCAAGCCCTCTGACAAGTATGAAAAGCCCCTGGACTACAGGTATGGCATGGGGGCGAGGGACCTGCTCAGGGTATACATGTACACGTGTATACCCACGCACTGCCTCTGGTTCTCTCACCATTACTCCTCTGTAGCCCCTACTCCTGGGTGGACTCTGGGCAGTTGCATCATTCTGAGCCTTGGCCCAGTGTGGTGACAGTGACCCACTCCTACTTACAGGTGGCCCATGCGCTATGACCAGTGGTGGGAGTGTAAATTCATTGCAGAAGGCATCATTGACCAAGGTGAGGCCCTGAGGGACGATAACAAGGGTCCAGCCCTACTTCGAGTGGTAGAGGCTTCTGAGATCACCAGCTAACCAGATAGGGGACTTGCTTATTACCCCATTATGGGGGCTGAGGCTCTTGTGTGCCCCAGCTGAGGGCATCTGTCTGTCATTTCAGGGGGTGGTTTCCGGGATAGCCTGGCAGACATGTCAGAAGAACTGTGCCCTAGCTCAGCGGACACCCCTGTGCCTCTGCCCTTCTTTGTCCGAACGGCCAACCAGGTAATCTCCCATCCCTATCTCCCAAATAGTTTCTGTTCTTCTGTCTCTGCGAACCTCCCAGGTACTGGGCTAAGCTAGAGAGGGGGCAGAGGAGAGACTGAGTTGCCTGGGGCAGCCTCTGGACAGGCAGGGAAGGAGGAGCCATTGTATATTCAGAGGGATCATTCAGGGCCTCCAGTGGAAGGTGTTCAGGGAAGTCTCTGAGTCATCTGGGGGCAACAAAGTAGGGTCCATCCCATGCCGTGCTGACAGCTCTGTCTCGGGGACAGGGCAATGGCACGGGTGAGGCCCGGGATATGTATGTGCCCAACCCCTCCTGCCGAGACTTTGCCAAGTACGAGTGGATCGGACAGCTGATGGGGGCTGCCCTTCGGGGTAAGGAGTTCCTGGTGAGTAGCCTATTCTGCACCCACTAGATTAATCCTGGCTCTTGGAAGGAAGAAGAGCCAGCCAAACCTGGGCAGCTCAGGGTGAGAAGACAGTAGTATTTGTCTCCCAGGTCCTGGCCCTGCCTGGTTTCGTTTGGAAGCAGCTCTCTGGTGAGGAGGTGAGCTGGAGCAAGGACTTCCCAGCTGTGGACTCTGTGCTGGTGAGTTAGGGCCAAAACCAGTGTTTCCTCTGCCCAGCCCCCAAGGTTGCTGCTCCCCAGGGCTGTCCTGAACCTTCTCTTACCACATACATGCTCCCTCTCCAATCCCATGTACTCCAGTAGCTTCAACTACTGTCACTATTCTGGTGACCCCCACTTCTTTATCTCTAGCCCCAACCTCTCTCCTAAGCCTGGGGCTGTATATGCATTTACCTGCTGGACATCTGTCCCAAGATGGCACCTCAGGATCAACACACTCTTCATCCTCTCCCCAGTCTACTGCCCTCTAGGGCTCCCTGTCTCACAGTGGCACCACCACCCACCCCTCCCCATGCCAAGCCCTTTCAGGGTCATTCTGCACTCCTCCTCGCTCACCTCCCACATTCTGTCACATCTGCCTCTGGAATCTGTCCACTTCTTCCATCTCACTACTTTCCCTCTGGTTCAGCCACTTTCATTTCGGACCCAACCACTGACTGCAAAAGTTGTCAGTGTTCCTGTCTCCATTCTTACCCATCTGATCTCCAGCATCCAGAGTAATTCATTTCACTCTCCCTGTTTAAACCTTCAGTAAACCCACTCTGGGCTTAGAATAAAATGCAGAGTCTGGAAAGGCCTTACATGACCCCTGTATCTCTGGACACCTGGTTCATGATCAGGCTCCAGCCAGACAGATTCCTAAGGCCTTTTGCTCTTTCCACCTTTTTCCAAGATGTTCTCTCTCCTGACTTCCTGGTGGCCCAGCCAATTCCCAGCCATCATTTGGGTCTCAGCTTAGCTGCCACTTCCTCCAGGACACCTTCCCTGATCTCCAAGCCCGGTTAGGCATCGTCTTGATGCTTTCACAGCCCTTGTACTAACCCCCTCACTGCCCTCATTGCCTGCATGAGGACTGCCTTGCCTGGCTGCCTCTCCTGCTTCCCTGTGAGCTTCTTGAGGAAAAACAAGGACTGTCTCCACAATGAAAAGATGACCTTCCTGCCTCTCTTCAACCCCCAGGTAAAGCTTCTGGAAGTGATGGAAGGAATGGACAAGGAGACATTTGAGTTCAAATTTGGAAAGGAGCTAACGTTCACCACTGTGCTGAGTGACCAGCAGGTGGTGGAGCTGATCCCTGGGGGTGCAGGCATCGTGGTGGGATTTGAGGACCGTTCCCGTTTCATCCAACTGGTGCAGAAGGCACGGCTAGAGGAGAGCAAGGAGCAGGTACTACCCAGAGGCCAGTGGAACAGAGAGCTTTGGGCTCGTTATAGCCAGAGCCCAGCCTGATAGGCCACCAGAACCCAGTCCCAAGAATTCCGGCCCCCACCATCCCTCTGCCCCACATCCCTGCTGATCAGTGAACTACAGAGACACATTGTCTCCGTGAGTGGAGGCCAAGGGTCCCCACCACACACTGAGCCGGGAGTTGTGCCCTCTTCCCCAGCCAGGCCCTTTCCCTCCTCCGCAGGTGTCAGCCATGCAAGCAGGTCTGCTGAAGGTGGTGCCACAGGCTGTGCTGGACTTGCTAACGTGGCAAGAGTTGGAGAAGAAGGTGTGCGGGGACCCAGAGGTCACTGTGGACGCTCTGCGCAAGCTCAGTGAGTGTGGGGCGGGGCCGCGCAGTCCCGGGGTGGGGCTTAAGGACCTAAGAATTAATTCCATCTGGTTTTGTCCCCACCAGCCCGGTTTGAGGACTTCGAGCCATCTGACACACGGGTGCAGTATTTCTGGGAGGCACTGAACAACTTCACCAACGGTCAGTGGAAAGGGCAGAGTAGTGTCTGGGTTCGGACTCCACTCCTGGGATACGGAGACAGGGCGGAAGCTGAAGAACTTCTTGCACCATCAGCACATGGGCACTGATTTCCTTCTCCTCCATCTAGAGGACCGGAGCCGCTTCCTGCGCTTTGTCACAGGCCGCAGCCGTCTGCCAGCTCGGATCTACATCTACCCGGACAAGCTGGGGTGAGTGAGGATGGGGAGGGGAGGTCCAGTCGAAAGAGGCTGTGGCTGGCCTTCTGCCCTGCCCCACAAACATATTCACGTGTCAGACCCCTGCCCTGTGCCCCTGCGATTCTTTCTGATCTCTGGTCCCTCCACGCCCCCAGCTATGAGACCACAGATGCGCTGCCTGAGTCTTCCACCTGCTCCAGCACCCTCTTCCTACCGCACTATGCCAGGTGGGTTTCCTAGGTTCCAGCCTGGGGAGTGGGGGGCGTGGGGGGGGCGGGGAAGGGTGGCATCCTAGGGTGGAGGAGGGCTTCAGGTACTGGGTGCAAAAATTGGAGCCACAAAGCCCCTGGTTGTGAAGGAGGGACCTCTACACCTGGCGCTGATCAGCTCCCTGCCCCCTGCAGTGCCAAGGTGTGTGAGGAGAAGCTCCGCTACGCTGCATACAACTGTGTGGCCATCGACACCGACATGAGCCCTTGGGAGGAGTGAGTCGGCGCCAGGGGGCAGCCGCGGGCCGGCAGGACTGCTCCTGCGCGGTCCCACTCGGCCTCACCCGGGAAGCCAGCGCACTCCGCCCTTGGGTGTGGTTGGAGTGGAGCAGTGGGTTGACACTGGTGGCTCAGCCCCCGCAGTTCCTCAAGCCCTACACGTGCTCGGGTTGCTTCCAGCATTATTTCGCATCTGTGAGAGGAATCTTCCACAAGCCCAGCACAAGCTGCCAGGCCTGAGCTACTTGAAGGGGGCCTTCTAGCTCCCCACCCCGTGGACTTTTGCTTCAGTTTTCAGCTCATTTTTTTCTCTCCTTGTTCTTCTCTGGTTTCAGCCTGGACTCAAAGCTAAAAACTCAGGGGGAGAGGGGAGGATGGAGGCTCCTCCCCGAACAAGGCTCCAGGGATGGATAGGGAATGATGGCCATCCTCCTTGGTCACCTGAACCAAGAATGAAGAAACTGCTGAACACCCTCTCCCTCACATATTGGTCTTTTCCTCCTCTCCCTCCAACCCCAAGGTGTGAGTTCTGACTTTCTTTCTCCAACTAAGTCTCAACTGACAAAGTGCCACCACCATCCCTGGCTCAGAACATTAAATCTATACTACCACTGCCACCCCGTATTCATCACTTCTGCATCACCTCCAGCCTGACTCCCTGTCTGCTGTCTTACCCCCAAGACTTTGCACAGGCTAAGGCCAGTTATGTCCTCTCTGAAATCTTCAATAGCTCCTCTTTACCCAACTCTAAAATAAAGCCTAGACTGTAAACCTCCTCCTAGGCTTTATGCACGTTCCTGCCCCAACCCTCCCTCCCTTAAGGGCCTCCGTGACACTCCATCAAAGAAGCTCTCATACATGGGAAAGTTGAATAAATGGATGAATTCATTCCTTCAGTGTGCGTTTATTGGGCTCCCGAGGGATGTTAAAGAAGACCGTTCCAGGACTTCAGGGTCCTGCTGGGAGCAAAGGAGATGTGTGTCAACGTGGGAGTAGTGGGGCTTCTTAATGGCAGAGATGAAATCTGGAGCTAAGCAGGGAAATAAGGCGTCCTCTGCCCAGAAGGGGGAAAGAAAGCTGGACTGGCATCTTCCGGGATGGGTGTGGCGATTCAGAGGTTGGGAGTCCACCACCTTCAGTAACCAGGTGGGCAGAAGAATCTGACCTCCTAGAGGACAGAGCCTTGCAGTGGCTGAGAGACACCCAAATCAGGATGTGACAGAAGAGGAGGCAGCGGCACTGCCCCCCACCACCCCCCCACGCCGCCTCCAGGTACCACACAGCTAAGGTGCAGTCTAGAACAGCATCCGTGCGGATAGAGTCCCCCCAAAAAGTCGCGCTCTCCCATCGCTTCTCCACGCCGTCCTCTAGGGCGCGCCCTGACGCTACCCTGGTGGGAAACTCGGCCTTGGCTTTGAGGCCCTCCCCTGGGGCTGTGCGCACCCCGAAGACTGCCTCCCCGTAATTCGGAGTTTGACTCTCCAGATGAGCCTCGCCGTCAGCACTCGCCTTACGGCTCCCCGACCCCTGCGCCTTGGGTGGTCCACAGGAGACGTGCCCCCTCTTCCGGCAGCCCCTTTCCGCCCAGGGAGCAGGAGGCGCAAGAGCCCCAGAGGCCGCTACTCCCCCGCAGCTTGGCTTTCCCGCCAAGCTCCCGCCGACTTGTCCCGCCCACCCGGGCGCGCCTTCCCCCTTCTCTCCTCCTCAGGGAAGGGCGTGGCCAGCACGCGCCTGCAGGAGGTGGTCCGTTTCTGTCTGGTACCGGCCACAAGAGTCTTGTCTCTCTTTTATTTTGTAGCTTGCTCTTCATTCATTCAGTGACTGCATGGAACAGCTATGTCAGGCACCACACTAGGTGCAATGGATAAAACGGTGGCTAAACAGATAATTTTGGCCCTCTTGGGATTTAACCTGTAATGGAAAAAGACGTATATTAAACAGATAATGGCATAAACAACATTTAATAACATTTACGTAAGCGCTCCAAAGGAGAAATGAAAGTTTTCATTAAAAGACAGCACAGGGGGCTTCCCTGGTGGCGCAGTGCTTGAGAGTCCGCCTGCCGATGCAGGAGACGCGGGTTCGTGCCCCGTTTCGGGAGGATCCCACAAGCCGCGGAGCGGCTGGGCCCGTGAGCCATGGCCGCTGAGCCTGTGCGTCCGGAGCCTGTGCTCCGCAAATGGGAGAGGCCACAACAGTGAGAGGCCCGCATAACGCAAGGAAAAAAAAAAAAAAAAAAGACAGCACAGGAAGATTCTAACCAAAGTGGCTCAGAGAAATGCTAAATCCTTAGGGAGAATAACCGTACAAAGGCCAGCTGAGAAGCATGTTAACTGGAGTGTGAAGGGAAGAAAGAGATTAAGACTCCAGCCTTGGAGGCTCTTTGAGGGTTTTGCATTGAGCAGCCATGAGAGGGTTAAACAAGGGAGTGACATGATTAGATTTGCCTTTGGCAGCTGCGTAAAGAATGAGTTGACAGGGAGAGAAACTGGAGGCAAGGAGGAATCCAAGCAGGAAATAATGGTCCCTGGAACAAGGCGGATACTCATTTTAACGATTATTTTTATTGGCTGCATTGTATTACATTGTAAGGAATTTCATAACTTTTATTCATTTAAAACCCTCTACAGATGGACATTAAGGTTGTTTACAAATTTTCGTATTGAAAATTACAAATGTTATAATAAACATCCTCATGCAGGTACTTCCCTGGTGGCGCAGTGGTTAAGAATCCACCTGCCAATGCAAGGGACATGGGTTTGAGCCCTGGTCCAGGAAGATCCCACATGCCACGGAGCAACTAAGCCCATGCGCCACAACTACTGAGCCTGTGCTCTAGAGCCTGCGAACCACAACTACTGAGCCCACGAGCCACAACTACTGAAGCCCATGCGCCTAGAGCCCATGCTCCGCAACAAGAGAAGCCGCCTCAATGAGAAGCCCACACACCGCAACTAGAGAAAGGCCGTGCATAGCAATGAAGACCCAACGCAGCCATAAATAAATTAATTAATTAACTAAAAAAAAACAAAATCCTCATGCATATATCCTTGCCTACCTATTTATTTTCTTAGACTAGGTTCCTAAAATCACTTCATCAATCTGCCAAATTGCCCTCTAGGAAGGATGTAACCGTTTTCACTCCCTTTATTATCTATTTCCTAAACTCTTACCAACCTTGGGCATTTAGTTTAATGTGCAGAGAAATTATATGATTTTTATTTTAATTTGCATTGCTTTGGTTATTTACTATATTGAACAATTGTTTTTCTTCTTCATGAACTGCTCTTTATGTATTTTTGTCCATTTTTCTATTGTTTTCATTATTCTTTTCTTACTGATTTATAATAATCTTTGCATAGTACTAATATAAGCACAGCAAAGCACTGTGCTAGATGCTATACATATGTTATCTTGTTTTATCTTCTCAGCAACTCTATGAAGTAAGTACTATTATTATGCCCATTTCCAGATGAGAAACCTAGAGCAAAGATTAATTAGTAACTTGCCCAGGATCACGTAAGTAGTAAGTGATGAAACTACAATTTGGATTGTTGTCTGCCAGCTCCAAAGCCTGCTGACATGTTAACTAAGGCGCTATGTCCTGTATATTAACCCCCTTGTTGTGTCAGGTGTTATAAATATGTTTTTCCAGTCTGTACTTTGCCATTTAATTTCATATATGTTCTTTCCTAATATACAAAATTTTAAATTTTTATGAATTAAAATCCTTTTTCTTTATGGAAGAAACCAGATATTGGATACACACCACAGGAAAGCAATATAGTATACTAGTTAGGGGCACATTCTCTAGAGTTAGCTTGCCTATATTCATATCCTGGCTTAACCACATGTTGACCATGGACAGTAGACAACAGCCACAGGTTTTCCAAATCCTTTGCCAGTTTCCTCAGCTTCTTTTTTTTTTTTTTAACAGTAATTTTTAAAAAATATTTATTTATTTAGGCTGCACCGGGTCTTAGTTGTGGCACGCGGGATCTTCGTTGTGGCATGCACACTTCTCACTGTGGCATGCAAACTCTTAGTTGTGGCATGCATGCGGGATCTAGTTCCCTGACCAGGGATCAAACCCAGGCCCCCTGCACTGGGAGCGCAGAGTCTTACCCATTGGACCACCAGGGAAGTCCCTCAGCTTCCTTTTGTGAAGTACCTATCCTTTACCATTGCTTTGAAATGCTGCGTTTTCATGTGCTTATCATCATTGTATGCTAAATTTTAATATATAAGAAATCTTTGTTTTGCACAGTAGTGCCAGGCTGTAAAAATGATCCTGCACTTTGAAACCATGCAAAGAGATCTTAATAATCAAGTGGGGGGAGGGGCTTCCCTGATGGTGCAGTGGTTAAGAATGCACCTGTCAATGCCGGGGACATTCAATGCTGGGGGATCCCTGGTCAGGAAGATCCCACATGCCGCGGAGCAACAAAGCCCGTGCGCTGCAACTGCTGAGCCTGCGCTCTAGAGCCTGTGAGCCACAACTACCGAGCCCACATGCTGCAACTACTGAAGCCCGCGCACCTAGAGCCCGCGCTCCACAACAAGAGAAGCCACCTCAATGAGAAGCCCGTGCACTGCAACAAAGAGTAGCCCCCGGTCACCGCAACTAGAGAAAGCCCGTGCACAGCAACGAAGACCCAATGCAGCCAAAAGTAAATAAATAAATAAACAAACAAATAAATAAATAACTTTAAAAAATAATAATAATCAATGGGGGAAATTACCACTCTTCCATGACAAATGTTTTGTTAAAACATTAAAAACTCTCCTACAATTATAAATGTACAAGGAAACGAAAAACTAGTAAAACTAATATTTATTTAGTACATTGAAATCTAAAGCATTTAGAAGATTTAAGAATTAAATTTCTTTCTTTGTAAAATGCTTATCAAGAGTAGTTTGAATAGTGCTTGCCTCTCTTTTCTTGTCTTGTACTATGGAGCAAGCATCTACTCTAAGTCTTGGTGAATGGTCATACTCCTT